TAGGTTAAAATTTTGTTGTGTGGTATGAAAACAAAAATTATGATAGTAAATATGATAACTGATTGAATTTATTTACTAAAAAATTATTATTATACTATATTCTGATAAAGTACAAACAAAGCAACAATATTTTTAATTTTCTAGCATTATAAGAAAAAAAATTTAATTAATTTTATAAAAATGGAAAACCGTTACAGCAATGTTTGGTCACATTTTACTATTGTAGATGAAAAATTTGCAAAATGTGGTATATGTAAGAAAAAATATTCATATAAGTCAACTCTAACTAACTTAAAAAAACATTTATGTACTAAACATTTGATAACCTGTAGCTCAACTCAGCAAATAAATAACCAAATTGTACATAATAAAGTAAGTTTAATTAATATGCAATTTTGATTTTTAAATTTGAGGCGAAAATAGTATACATAATTGTAGTTTCTATTATATTTAAAAGGAATTGTATAATGGAAATATTGATGAACCGGATGACTCTGCTACACTGCCTTCTACATCTCAAACTCAAATTGCTTCTTCATCTTCCACTATTTTTCATTCAAATTCGTCAGTAGTTAGAGGTCAATTAGAGATTATTGAAAATAGTGTAGTTCAAATACCAAATAAACGCAAACAAACAAGTATGTTTAGTTTTATACCTAAAAAAATGACAAATAATTGTAAAAAGCAAATTGATGGTGCACTACTTAAGTTATTTACAAAAGATTATCAACCCTTTAAAGTAGTCGAAGATGAAGGATTTAAAGAGTTTGTAAAACTGTTGAACCCAAACTATACTCTTCCTGACCGCCATTCGATATCTAAAGTACATGTACCAGCATTATACGAAAAATGTTTATTTGAAATGAAAGATCTAGTTGCAAAAGAAGCTGAAAGTGTATGCATGACAACTGATTGTTGGACTTCTCGCAACAATGAAAGTTTTATGGCCATAACTATTCATTTTATTGATTCAAAATTTGAATTGAAATCGGTTCTCCTTGGGTGTTTTGAATTTAATATAAGTCATACAGGGATTAATTTAAGTGACACAATACAGAAAATACTTAAAGAATGGGATCTGGAAAACAAAGTAGTATTTGCAGTCTCTGATAATGCAAATAATATAAAAAATGCATTATCTTTATTAAAATTTAAATCTATGGGATGTTTTGCACATACAATGAATCTTGTTGTACAATCTGCTCTAACTTTTGAAAGTGATTTAATTGAACATGTTAAAGCAATTGTTACATATTTTAGAAAAAGTACAGTAGCCAACAACAAATTAAACATGTATCAAATTAATAATAGTGTAAGTCAACCAAAAAAATTAATTCAAGATGTTCAGACACGATGGAACTCAACATATTACATGTTAGTTAGATTTGTAGAATTAAAAGATTCTATTCGTGGCACATTAGGGTTACTTGATAGGGCACCAGAAAATCTTAAATGTGATGAGTGGACTATTCTAGAAGAATTATGCAATGTACTTAGACCTTTTGAAGAAGCTACAAAAGCAGTAAGCGGAGAAAAATATATGTCTGCATCACTTGTTATTGTATTGTCTCAAGGTTTACTGAAAGTATGTGATACAATGTCAAAAATGAAATATAGTCCTAGAGTTCTGGAAATTATAAATAAACTTAGGTATGCCATGCTTGAAAAAGATTCATGGAAAAATATTGAAAAAAGTAAAACGCTGTGTCGTTGCACATTTCTTGATCCTCGTTTTAAAAACATTCCTTTTTTGCATGATTCTTTAATTCTTAGCAATTTAAAAACTGATATTATTGAAAATGTATCCCGAATTTGTAGTACTGCAAATGAAAAACAAATAGATGAATTAAGTGAACAAAATTGTTCAACTCAAAATTCACTTACTATACAATCATCCAAAACAATATCAATTTGGGATGATATTGATCGTAGTGTAGCGGAAGTAGTGCCAACTGGAACATCGACATCTCGAGCAATCATTGAAGTTCAACGTTATTTAGAAGATTCTATACTACAAAGAAATAACGACCCATTAAAATGGTGGAGTGAGCATAGTTATAACTACCCATACCTCAAGTCATTGGCAAAAAACACATTGTGTTGTCTTGGTACATCTGTACCATGTAAAAGAATTTTTTCAAAAGCTGGGCTAATCCTAAATGACCGTCGCTGTCGATTAAAAAATGAAAAAGTTAAAATGCTGCTATTCTTAAATTATAATTCTGATTGATTTCAATTAACCTATAATAATATTTATATATTTTAAATTTATGATTCGTACAAGTTATAACCATTCTTATTTTAAGTAACATCAAGTTACATGTTGTTTTTTTTACTATTTTATTTTACAGCTAGTATGAAGTTAATTAACTATGGTAGATTCAGTTTTATGTTTTTTATTTTACTTTATGTTATGACTTATATATTATAAGTATTGTTTTTATACTTCTTATCAACTATAAATTTATAAATAATTGTTAATATACAATCGTCAAACTTCGATCATATCTTACTAAAAACAAATATTACTAACTAAAAAAACTTAAGCATTACCATTCTATAACAAGTTAAATAATAAACACTAATAGTAACAATAACAATAAACAATAATAAAATAACTATTTTAAATAAAATAAGAATTTAACTATTAAGAGAGGAGCAACAGGTAATTATTTTATCATAAAAAACAAAAAAAATAATTGTGATAACGTAATAATATTACTGNCGACGACGACGTTTCAATGTAACGACAACACACGGACGAATATCGCTATGATACGACGTTGCTCCGGTGCCGCGCTGTATTTATACGGTGGACGGGCTCCGGGAACCGTTCTCATTGGTCCGAGGGTTCAACGGTTTTTTTTTTTTTTGTTTGCCCCGAACCGTATCGCGGCGGTGGGGGCTCCAACGGGAGCGCTGCCGTCGGTCGGCCGTCGCGCATAAATACAGCCGCCGTACGGTTTCCGTATCATTCGATTCGATTCGTCTTCATTCGCCGAACGACAAACGACCAGTAAACAGCTACCATGACAGGCAGAGGCAAAGGAGGAAAAGGTTTGGGAAAAGGAGGCGCCAAACGTCATCGTAAGGTGCTCCGTGACAACATCCAAGGTATCACCAAGCCCGCCATCCGTCGGTTGGCTCGCCGCGGTGGTGTCAAACGTATCTCCGGTCTTATCTACGAAGAGACCCGTGGTGTGTTGAAAGTGTTCTTGGAAAACGTCATCCGTGACGCAGTCACGTACACCGAACACGCCAAGAGGAAGACCGTCACCGCCATGGACGTCGTATACGCCTTGAAACGCCAAGGCCGTACCCTGTACGGTTTCGGAGGTTAACTCGCTCGTCGTGTGTATCAAAACTACATCGGCCAGCTCTCTTCTCACGTTAAAACGGCCCTTTTCAGGGCCAACAATTGCGCATTATAATGCATCGGTGGTTGTGTGTTATTGTTGTTAAAATTAAAAAAACAAGACGCGCGCGCGGCGCCCCCCTCTCCATGAAACACACGCATGGCGTTTGTTTATTCTCTCTTTTCGTCCGGGGTGTGGTGTTCGTTATATTATACATTTATTATTGAAGGAACGCGACAATTTTAGGTGTAAAAATAAATAATAAGGATTTGGAAAAGATTCGGCGGCGAGCCGAACTGGTGGTCTCGAGCCTCGACTGTCGTCTGGTCGTGTCCCGGCTGACGACGTCCATAGTCTTCAATAATGAAAAAAAAAAAAAGGACTGGCCAAACATCGAACGCCCTAGGAAAAATACTCTTTACAATAACTACGCCCTCCTCACATTATTATATGTTCATTATTAATAGTTATATAAATATAGCGACTGCGCACGCAGACACTATACAAAACCCATTTCGCGACACCGGTATCGGAGGGGAAAAAAAAAAAAGTCATGGGTCGGTTAAACGACGGTTCCGTTATCTATACGTCCGCGGTCTATTATTATTATTATCATCGTTCGACTCGTTATGAATTTTTTTTTTTCTGTTCTCTGTCCGCCTTCATACGAACTACCAACGTTATTCCAAGAACCCTCGCGAGTTTTCGTCCGGCGATGAACATCAATCGACTTGATTTCTTACGATTCGGTTTTCACGTATAAATGACATTTCAACTCGTACGGAAATAAATGCCGCGTCCGGGAAGCCCGGTACTAATAATGTAAACAACAATCGGGGAAAACCGGCAGGCGACAAATATCATTTACTACGTGGTTACGATGCAATTCGTTGTTCATTGGCTGGTTGGGGGCGTTTCGTATTATCCCAATAATAATAAGGTAGTACGAAGTTAGATCGTTGGGAAATTCGTCCTCTACGCGTGCGGCGTAATAAATTTCGAATCGATGAAATCTAACACGATTTCGGAATTCAACGTTTTTTTATATACACCATGATACTACGGATAGTGTTTTTTTTTTATGGCGAGTTCGAATCGGACCGCGATCCTTAAAAATAAATTCGATGATCTACGACCGTCGTCACACGTTCTACCGCCCCTACTTACGTTATTATTCTTGTCCGGACACACCACCATCACCGGTGGTCCGTGGGTGTCACACAACACGATTATTATGTTCTTTATTGTCCAAGTCAAACAATAAAAAGAAAAATGTGTTGCGTGTTCGTTCTTCAGTCACACAGCATATATATAACTATCTCTCCCTCATTGTAGTACATGTGTAGTGGCCCTGAAAAGGGCCGTTTTAGTTAGCGGGGCAGAACGACAACTTAGGCTTTCTTCTCGGTCTTTTTGGGTAAAAGGACGGCCTGGATGTTGGGCAACACTCCTCCCTGGGCGATGGTGACGCCGGACAAGAGTTTGTTCAACTCCTCGTCGTTTCTGATTGCCAATTGCAAGTGCCTGGGTATGATACGTGTCTTCTTGTTGTCACGGGCTGCGTTACCGGCCAATTCCAAAACTTCAGCGGCCAAGTATTCCATGACGGCAGCCAAGTAGACCGGTGCGCCGGCTCCGACGCGCTCGGCGTAGTTGCCCTTTCTCAACAGACGATGGATACGACCGACCGGGAATTGAAGCCCGGCACGGGACGACCTGGTCTTGGATTTGCCGCTCTTTGCTTTTCCACCTTTGCCGCGTCCGCTCATGATGATTGGTATGTGTGAGTGTTGCGAGAACTGTCTATTCGAACGAAAGTAACACAATGATGACGGCACTTTTTTTTTTTGCTTTGCTTGTAGGACAGCGACTAGCGCTTGTGTACACGTGTCAGGCTGTGAGCCTATGACGTGTTGATTGAAATGTATTGTCTGAGATTGTAGTGTTTTACCAGCTTGGTAGCCGTGGTTTCAGTGCATGTTTTTGGAAGACGTCGGTACGGGTTAGTTCTCTTATGTGTCGGTGTTGTGAGTATTGGTTGTTGTAAAGTAAGTTTTTTGCGTGGCGCCGGATGGTCTCTCGTAGACTGTCTAACTGGGCTGAGTTGAGTAACGTGTTGTTGGATACGAACCATGGTTGGCCGGTTATCGTGCGGATGGCTATGTGGTCGGCCGCTTCGATGCTGCGCCAGTTGGTGTCGGTTATGTGCGGGCCCCATGCGGCGCCTGCGTATGTGAGGACTGATCTTATGTACAGTTGGTGTATAATGAGTTTTGTACGAAGTGGGACGGGGCTTCTTTTGTTCAGTATTGGGTAGAGTATGCTTCTTATTCTGGTCGCTTTTGTCTTGGTGTTCTGAATGTGTTTTTTGAAGGATAAATGGCGATCGAATGTGACACCTAGATATTTAGCTTCCTTGGACCAGGGGATGTGAACTTTGTTAACTAAAAGTTGTTTTCTGGATGTGTCGTTGTGGTTAAAGATAAGCGCTACCGTCTTGTGTGCGTTTATTTTAAGTCTCCATTTCTTAAACCATGTTGCTGCAGAGTCTAGTTGAGTTTGTACTTGGTTGATGGCTCTGATTGGGTGGCTGCTGCTAGATGTTAGTAACGTGTCGTCGGCGAATAGAAAGAGACTGGCGTTGTTGTTTATGGGGATGTCGTTGGTGTAGGCGGAATAGAGCGATGGTGAGAGGCAGGACCCCTGTGGGACGCCGGCTGCGATGTTTCGGAAAGTGGAAATTTCGCCTTCGACGCGGACTGCAAATTTTCTGTTGGACAGGAATGATTTTATTATTCTTTGTACGTACTGTGGTGTGCCCATTTTGTGTAATTTGTACAGGAGTCCTTGGTGCCATACACGGTCGAATGCTTTTTCAATATCGAGGAAGATAGCGACGGTCTTGAGATGGTTGTTGGCGTTGGTTACTAGCGTATCTACGAAATTTACAAGTTGCAGTGTGGTGGAGTGACCGGGGCGGAATGCGTATTGTTCTTGTCTGATGGCTGGTAGGAGTGTTTTGTTCAGTTTATGTAGAATAATTTTTTCGAAGACTTTCGATAGAGATGAGAGTAGAGCGATCGGTCTGTAATTTTCGGGTTTTTTATGGTCCTTGCCTATTTTGGGGATGGTTATGATGATGGCTTCCTTCCATTGTGTAGGAAAGTATCCTGTGCGTAGACAGCTGTTGAATATTCTCGTCATTAGAAGTATGGCTGATTTCGGTAGGAATTTAAGAGCGGTGTTGGTGATGCTGTCTTTGCCAGGTGCTTTCCGGTTGGGGAGGCGGCGGATGATGTGTTCGACGGTGCCCGGGGATGTGTGACAGTCGGTGGACGGCTCGTCCAGCGGCATTGTTGAATATGAGACGACCTCTGGTAGAGCGGGACCTGTGTTCGGCGAGAATTGTGTTTCGTACGTGTCCGCGAAGAGTTCGGCTTTCTCGCGTGCCGAGTACATGAGGCACGTAGGTCCTTCCAGCGGGTGAACTGCTGGGCGCTTGTTGAGGAGTGCTTTGTTGATTTTGTAGATCGAGCCGTCTTGAATGTCAAGTTTGTCTAGGAAGGAGTCCCATTCGTCGTCACGGTGAGTGGCCAGCATTAGTCTGATCGTCTTAGTTATGTTGTTGAGGCGGCGTTTGATTGTTGGGTCCCTGTGTCTTTGCCATTCGCGTCGTAGTTGTTTTTTATGTTCAATTATTGATAGGATTTCTGTCGGGAGGCCGTTTTTCCGTATGCTGTTGTTTCTGTTGTAGGTGTTGTTTACAATGGAGTCGGTTATGCTGTTGTTGAGAATGTCGATAGCGGCGTCGATTTCTTTGGAGTTAGAAAATGAAGTGGGGGCGTCTGCTAAGAAGTTTTTTACGGACTCCGAGTACTTGGGCCAGTTTACTTGACGTTGCGGCGTTGGCGGTGAGGACGATATAGGTGAATCGGAAACTTGTAGAAGAATAGGGTTGTGGTCGGAGGATAAGTCGTTGATGTTGGTTATGTTGGTTGTTAGGAGTGGTAGTCTGGTTAGTGCGATGTCTAGGACGTCTGGTCTGTGGTGTGGTATGGCTGGATAGAAGGTCGGCGTGTCCGGCGATAGAATGCAGTAATCGTGTTGTTGCACGTGGTTGAAAAGAACATTACCTGCTGCGTTAGCGGTGTGGCTATGCCATAACGGATGTTTCGCGTTTAGATCGCCTGCTGCTACGAACCAGCCTGTTGACGGGTCAGTTAATATGTCTAAGTCAGTTTGAAGTAATTGTTGTTGTGGGCTTTTGTAGATAGCGGATATTCTGATTTTGTTGATACCTGTTGAAATTTCTATGGTTGTTGAGGTTAGTGTTGTAGGTAGTGATATTTGACGGTGGACGATTCTTTTGTGTACTAGTATGGCGGTACCTCCGAGGAAGCGCCTATTGTTTCGTCGTGGGTCGTCCGTCCGGTATATATGGTAGTTTTTGATTTTTAATGTATTGTTTGGTCCTAGTTTGGTTTCGCCTATAAGTGCTATGTCGGTGTTTGTTTGCGTTAGGAGAGTATGAAGTTCGGTTGTTTTTTGTTGGATTCCGTTGGCGTTCCATTGTAAAATGCGAAGGTGTTTGTTGTTATTCATAGTGATTGACAAGGGTCGCCAGGAATGTTTTTATGGTTTTTGTGATAATCTCCTTCGGGTCGTCCGTCGTCGTTAATGCGGTAAGTAAGTCGCCGAGTAACAGAATGATTTTTTTGATGTCCAGAGTGTTGTTTTTTGAGTCCGTGTTTTTCGAGTTTGCAGTAATTTTGGCGTACGATGCGCCGCCGGGTTGTTGTTGTACTGTCTGCTTCGTGTCGGTTGTGGTTGTAGGAATTACTGCCGAATTGTTGGTGTTGCTGGTATGACTTTTAGTTGTTTTTTGTATCGGTGTGGTAATCGACACGATATGTTCATAATAGGGGCAGCCACGGTAGTTGGCCGTGTGGTCGCCGCCACAGTTCACGCAGGTGGGTGTTGTTTCTTTTTGTTTTGTGCAGTCCTTGGATGAATGGTTGCCAGCGCACTTTACACAGCGCGGTGGGTGCCCGCAA